AATTCAAAATTTCACTAGTACCGGCTTTGAGACCATATCCATCCGTGCATATGAGTATCTTCATTGATATTCTTTAAATAAAATGTTTTTTCTTAAACATCATTTTTCCATTATTTTCACCCAATAAATTTTAAATAAACTCAAAGTTCAAAATTATTCATCAACAACTACACTCAAATAATATGTTTTTCTAAGACATATACTAAATACATTTTAACTACAATCTAACCTTATTGTAATTTGAATCTTCGCACCCAATTTTTTGTCAACAATTCTCTTCACAATATCTCTCTATAATCTCTAAAGCAACCTGGCAAATCATTCAAATAATCTTCAAATAAATTAATCATTGGGGATGCCTAAAAGAATTAAAGGATAAAAAAACACTAAATTTTGTATAGCCTAACTTCTATTTAGGTAATTTTCTCAAATACTTCCTCCGTTCTTTAAAAAATGCAACACTTTCCATTTTCGGCAGTTTCAAATTAAATGCAACCTTTCCATTTTGGGAAAGAAACGTTAAGTCAACTGACTAGTATACCCTTTTTTTATTTACGGCATCCATCTTTCATGACATTTTTTAGTTTATCCACCCACCACCACCGACCGTATTTACAACCCCATATGCAATTCCATTCATCTTTACCATCTACAATTCTCCTCATCTACCCTAACCCATTCTCCGTTTCTTCCCCATCATCTACCTCATTTATTTTTGTTTTCTTCCATCTACTCGCCGAAACGAAAGGTCATGGACGAAGACGAAACTGATTTTTCTCCGGCTACTCCCCCACGAGTTACTACCTTCGCTTTGGTGGATCCGATTACTCCCCCACGAGATACTACCTCCTGTTTGGTGGTTCCGGATACTCCGCCACACGTTCTTCTGGAAAGAGAGAAAGAGTTTGACGATCGCAACTTCTTGCCATCTAGTTTTGTGGTGAAGAAGCTATCACAGAAGTTAACAATGAAGAAGGACAGAGTATACAATCCAACCTTCGGATTCCAGACACCTGTCTTGATGGATTTTTTTCGAATCTGGTTGCCACTGTGTTTTGGAGAGAAGGGATATGCTGAAAAAGGTAATTTACTTGGTACTTCTTAATCCATACATGTGGCTGATTTGTAGTATATGTGCCTTAATGTTTATATAGCTTTCTTTATTGGGTGTAATTTGTATGCAAATGTTTACTTCGTACTTGCTATTGCTTCAGGAATGTACTGTTATTGGTTTTGATTTTAAGCTACATCAACTGAATAAATTGATGTTGGGTTTGATTTACCATCAACTGAATATAGAAGTACTTTTAAGCTATTCATATGCTTAAGGAATCCTACTGCTATTCGTTTTTGTTTATTGGTTTTGGTTTTAAGCTATACTCCTTAATGCTTAAGGAATCAACTGCTTAAGGAATCCTATAGCTTTACCAAATTGTAAAAAGTGTAAGTTTTGTGTGTTTTCATGGTATAATCTGTGACCGTAATAGAAAAACATTAGGCAACATAATCTTTACACACTAAGCAACATACTACTATCCTTTACAAAAAAGGCTGCCTTTATAATACCAGGAACTATCCTTTACAAAAGAGGTTGCCTTTATAATACCAGGAACAATCCTTCACAAAAAGAGGCTACCGTTACAAAACTAGGAACTAACCTTTACAAAAAGGAGGCTGCCTTTTCAAAAGCAGGAATTATATCCTTTACAAAATTAGGAAGTATCCTTACCAAAAAGAGGCTGCCTTTACAAAATTAGGAAGTATACCTAATGTACCTACCTAGCCTTTAGTGTAAAATTCAATTAAGTGCAGGTGTCATGTTTGACCTAGGGATGGATTCGGGCCGGGTTGGGCCCGGGCCGGGCCTAGGCCCGGTCGGGCCGCTGGTTCAAGAATAGTGGGCCCGGGACCGGCCCGAGGGTTGGACGGGTCCGGTTCGGGCCGGGCCACCCGCCCGGGTCACGGGTCAGGTCCGGTTCGGGCTGGGCCGGTTAATTTTTTTTTACAATTTATATTTTATAGTTTATAGTTTTATACGAGTATTAAAAACAAACTTCAATTGCATTTATTTGAAATGAAATAGGAACTACATTTGAAAATTAAAACAAACTTTAAGAGAAACATTTTGAAAATTGTAATCAATCGGAACTTCCCGCACCTCCCGATCCTTTGGCTTTGTCACATGACTTCGTATGCTTGATTGCCATCCCGAATCCGCTTGAAGCCCCCATGTTACATTTTTTCTCGCACCATTTGCAAATTGCGTACCACATCCCGGTCTTCGGGTCCTTCTGCTTATCAAAATTATACTGTATAATGGCATCTTGATTTTCCATCTTAACTTCTTAAGTATAAACTATAAAGTAGATATATAAATAATAAATATAATATATTGGAGAATAAGAGAATTAGAGAGTAGAGAGTTAAGAATAGGATTTAGGAAGAATTGGAGAAGAGATATGAAAAAATGTTTAAGATTAGGAGTATTTATAGGTTTTTTTACCCCCCACCCCACCCCAGCCAACCCCCCCGGACCCCCCCTTTACCCCACCCAACGGCTATATAGCCGTTTGGGTTGTCCCCAGCCCCACCCTCAAGGCCCCAACGGCTAGTAGCCAAACCAAACAAAAAAAAGTTTTTTTTTTTAAAAAATAGACCCGGACCCGGGCCCGACCCGGCCGGGCCGGGTCACAAAAATCCAGAACCGAGCCCGCCCCGCCCCTTCCCATCGGTTCGGGTCCATACCCGATCCCGGACCGCCCGACCGGGCCGGTCCCGGGCCCGCACAGTACCGGGCCGGACCGGGTCCCGGGTCGGGTGGCCCGAACCGAATCCATCCCTAGTTTGACCCCACCCCCGTACTTAACTGAATTTGACCATCCATGAGGTATTGTCTAGAATCTGAAATTAAGTCTTCTGGAACATCAATGTTTGTTGGCAGTAATCCAAGCTTGTCCATTTTTCTTTTTCCAGCATGAGGGTTCTTGTAGTTATTACCACCCTTGACTCTTAGAACTTCTATCATAATGTACTGAAGGTGGAACCAAGTATAGTTTAAAAGCCTTGGTTCAAAAGCATAGTATGCATCTTGGACTGCATTAACTAGTTCATTTACATCCCTAGGGAATGATTTGTATTGGATAGACTGGATAGCTCTAAAAAACCCAAGATCAAGAATATTTAAATCCGGGCTTTGGGCTGGTTGGCAAGTAAGTCTAATGTTGAACCCAAATGATGTAGCATCCTTAGTAAACTCTTCATCATGAACACCTATGTGAGGTCTTGCATTATCCTGTTGAATCCAAATATCTTTGCATCCATTAGACGGCCATTTTTCTCTTATTGCCGGTAGGACTGCATAGATAAGTTTTGATGTAATGATGTCTTTTGTCACACTTTGTATTGCCTTTGTTTCCGGAGTGCCTGCAACTCTATTTGTTGAATTTCTTTGTGCATAAACCACTTCAGTGAATGGGAAAATGCCAATTTTTCCATCCCATGTTACTGCACCTTGAGCTGAAACATGCGGTCTGGCCACCACAGCCAAAAACATTACTTTGCCTATAAATTTTTTGTTTTGGCAACTTCTATACGGATCATCCTCCCACGGAAACAGGTAAAACCTTTGTGTTTGTTGTGACATGTAGAACCATTTCTCGTCCATGTGAACCATATTATACATTTCACTGAATTTAGGAAGTGTGTGCACTTATCTTGGCAGAATCTGAGCCAAGATGTATTCTAGCCTCTTTAGCATGTGTGAATGACTTAGCTTAGGCTTGATACTATTGGTATGAGATCTTATTTGGCCTGATTTTAGCAATCTATATACTGCTGAGTGACTAATCTAAAGGGCAATTGTCAAAGATCTTATTGTTGTCCTTTTTCGATTGGGTATAGCTTCAAAGGTAGATAAATCAAATACCTTTGGTTTCCTTCCCACCTTGCCTTTTTTCTTACTTCTTACATAAATCAATGCACCAGCACCAAATTGTAGTTTTGTTGTGGACCATAGTCTCCAGACTGTGGTTCTATGCACTTTGAACTCTGTTGCCATCTTAGAAATTGCTCCTCTGGGTAAGTTTTGACCATCAGCTAGTGACAAAAGTTTCTCAATTAGGTGTTTTCTTTGACTGTTTATGAGATTTTCTTTCCTTTTGTTTGTTGATGTAGAACCATAATTTATTCCAGATTCTTCTTCTTCTTCACTTTCACTTTCAGAGAAAAATGATGAAAAGATTTCTGAGTCTGGATCTAAATCATCATCACCAAATGCTCCTTCGGCTTCTAGTTGAAGAAGCTCTGCTATGGAAATTTCCTCCTCCATTATGGATGTGCAGCACTGATTTTGTTTTTTGTTTGCAGACTGCTAGGCTTGATTTTTGTTTTATGGTTGAACATGGTGGGAAACTGATGATGGTGGCTGTATATGTACGCTGAAACGTAAATGGAGGGAAATTAAAAATTTTGGACTTGTCATATTCCCTCCCTCCGCAAGTGGACTTTATAATTTAGTAGTACATGTACGGTTGATGATTTTATTTGTATGTGGATGTAATGAAAAGTCATGTACTGTTGCTAACATTATTAGTATGGGGATGTAATGAAAAGTTTGATTGACGTGCAACTGTAGCATTTATGAGCTTTTTGGTTTATACGTACATTGCAGGGTAAAATAGGCAAGCATATTACTTTTTCTTTGTTTCTTGGTCCTTGTGCCCAACCTCATGTTGCATTCTTTTCCGAACAGAGGATAGTATACAATCGCTTCTGTGCACACACATAACATAAATTGATCTTCTTATACAGACTTGGACATGACATTGCTTTCAATTGCAGATAGTGATTACATATATTTGTAGATTTTCTAGGTTTTTTTACATGAGATGTAAAAAAACCTAGAAAATCCTTTAAACATTACTGCTTTTGAAAGTAATGACATAAAGCCATCATGTATTAGTTAAATTTATCTGCAAAGCATTTGTAAAACTACAAGGTACTAGCATAAAGCCATCTAGCCTAAACTTGCCACCATCAAATATATAAAAGAAAAATAAGTATTTGTATATATATATGTATATATACATATATCTCTGGGGTCTCGAAATGCTATCTCAAGGATTTGTTACATAAAAGTTAAAATTAGCATGGGAATAGAATAACAAAAAGCACCAATAAATATTCATAGGAGGCGATCAACAATAGGTAAAGCACAAAATGATAAATTCTACACGTTGGTTTTAGCATGAGGTACCTTTAATTCTTTATACTTTAGGAAATTAAAGGCATGAAACGCAGAAGCTTCATCTCAGAGAAAATCTGCCTCTTCTAACACTGCTAGGGTTCATAGTGTGAGATGTGAATCCAGTGAGCCTGTCTGGTGTTGAATAATCTTCTTCCTCAATGTCATCAGATCTCCACCTCGATCTCACACTTGCATGTGTGTCCTCTTCATGGCTGCTCACAAGTACCAATGATTACCAATACAATTTCCCCTCTTTTTAGAGATAATACCCAGTTTAGTTTCAATTATATGTAATACTCTTTTGGTCCTCAAACTTTTTATTGGACTCATGTAGGTCTTAAACTACGACCACTTGGTCCCAATTTTGTCCCTACTCCCTATACATATTTGTTTCTAAATAAGAACACAATTTCTGTGAGTAAATTTAGACAAAAAATTAGCCCTCCTTTGCTCATGAAAATAGCTTTCCTAATTAGAGCAAGTTATGCACTGCTAAAATGAGCCTAAAAAGAAGTTGACAACCAAGTTGAGTAAGAGTGTATCATCAAGGGGCCAAATCTGCTATAACCGTGTAAAGTCTCTCTCTCTCTTTTAACTACTGGACAATCTCGATGAAGAATAGATACGAAAGAAGATATTTACCTCCACGAAAAATCCATGGCTTCTGTGAGTGAGCGGTGCTTCTTAGAAATTACAGATCCATCGAGGGATACCTTCTCAATCCTCTCTGAAGAAACTTGATTGGTTTGGTAATTCCAAAGGCGGCTACTGTGAGGTACCCTTGATGAATTTCGTTCTGTTGTTGGAGAACTAATGAATGAACGAGTGTGTGGCTTAGGAGAGGCATGGTTCCCAACTTTAAAGATAGAAAGATCAGAAAGTCCATATTTTGCTGAAGTCTCGAGAGAGGAAGCACTAAGGGAGGAAATTATTCCATTGTTCTCTTGGCCAGCAGGAGGGTGTGGGGAGGAAATAATTGCACTGTCCACCCTGTCAGCAGGAGGGTGTGTCAATAAACTGGACAAAATAGGTCCTTGAGAAACTTGCAGATCAGGTTTTGCTGAACTGTCCTTTGCCTTATTTGGACTTGCTGCCTCAGCCAACTTCCCCGCCTTTACTTGATGCTGAATGATATCAGGAAGCAACTCCACCCCTTTTCGCTGCAATAGTATAAAGCATGTAACCTCCACTGCATTAGTTTGGAGTTTGGACTTGATTTCACTGTCTAAATAAACCACATGAACTGCCTACATTTTCAAGAAATTTAAACAGCGCAAAATAACAATAAATGGAAAACTGAAAAGAAATTAAAAATGACTTGGTAAGGTATGGAAATGGCAAATGTAGGAAAATGTGTACGCATAAAAAGCTTGATCTACCAATAGGAAGATTCCTTAATGACAAACTTACAACTTCCTACTCAGTTACAAATAATACATCCAGAACCCCAGCATATAAACATTAGAGGCGCTGTTGAATACAAAATGAAAATAAAAAACAGAATAAAACTGAATGGTGTCTCGTTTTAGATATTTAAACCAAAAATCTGTTTACAAATGATCAGATAGAAATTTATGAAACTCTCAATCAATCTATAAAGTGAAGAAACGTAAGAGTTCAATTGACCAACACAGCAACACCTGGGCAAACTTCCATCAATTGAATAAAAATTTATTCACTTTCATCCAATTAACAGTTGCACCATAGCACAATTGAAAATCCAAAGTTGCAATCTACTCATTCTAATTGAATAAAAAGATGGGCAATAAAAATATACAGACTTACAGCCAAACCCGTTCTCCAATTGTTTATTGATCTTATCCTGGTTAACACAGCTTCACTGAGAGAATTTTGAGAAATGAAGTTATCCTCCATGGTTTGAAGCTTGCGATCAATTTCATATGCCTCCATGTACCTATGTCGCTGAACAAAGACAAGAAACCATAGGAAAGTCATCGTTTATGCCAAATAATCTTATGATTTAAGTTCTCACTGCCTAAATACTACGAGTAATAAATAAAAGAAATTAGCACAGGTGCACATTCAGTCAAATACCAAGCAAGAAACTTAGAAAAGTATATTGTTTACATATAAGAATTTGAACCTGTAAATAGAAAACAACAAGTAGACTTCCCGTAATCGTGGAAGGGTCTTCTGTGGCAAAATCCATCAGGCACTTATGAAGATATATCTCCTCGTCAGAGTTCCATGGAAGTTCTATGATGCGATCTACAAAATTTCTCCTTACACAAAGACAACAAATTTCAGAGACCAAAGTCTCCACCCACAGATCCGGAGAACAGGCTTCACCCTTTTGTTCAAGTGAAGCATCATGAAATGTTTCACCTCGTAACTTATTCTCATTCACCTTGGCACAAATCATTCTCTGGAACATGAAAGCTTCAGATAGAAGTCCACACTCCACTCTTACTCGAACTGCAGTGACAGTCTCCCCAAGAGAAACCACCTGTCTCCCATCTCGTCCCGAACATCTCAGAACCATAAGAGCCGCATCAGGATTTTGCCTCTCTAAAAGAACCTGTGCCACTTTAGGATGAACAACGGGACTCGAGATTTCAGGGAGAAGGCGGCAAGCTTCCTAGAAATACAAGTAAATGATCAACAAAGGAAATGATACAATGTCTAACTAATTCACCTCAGATTAACCAAAAACTTCCATTGAACCAAAAAATGTGTACATTGTGGTATCCTACTCCTTTCACCGCACCATACGTGCCTCAGTCGGATAATTAGGGTTGACAATTATCATTTGCAGTTCAGTTTTATATTTAATTTAGTACAAGAAAATAAAATTCATATTATTAAGAAATGGAATTAAAAGCTCCATTCAACATAGAAACAGCATAAAGATGCAAATTAAATGGACTTCTTTTTTATATGACATGTGATTTGCAATATTATTATTTTTGAGGAAGAAAATGACTCATGAATCTGGTTGTCGGTTGCTCTGTTTGGTAGGAAATTCCTAACTAAGCACTTTTTTTGAAGAGCGAGTCCTGGAGAGCATTACACTCTAAATTTTAGCCTTTCGTAATAAGAGGCAAAAGCTTATGTTAACTGTGTGAGCACGTTAATATTTTAATATCATACATATTGATCATCATACAAAAAGAGAGGTGTAATATATAAGGTTCTAACAGTGATAACCCTGGAAATATTGGGTTCGCAACTTCATTTCCTGGAAGAAAACAATCACCTGCAAACCTTCATCAGTGTGGTCATCCAACAGAAAATAGACACAGGATTCTAATATAGAGTGCCTTGAAACACAAAATGTCGCAGCAAAGTCGTCAATAATGTCCCTCCAACTCTCCTCAGGTACAGTCCACTGTCGGTCAAAAATATAATACAAAAACTATGGAATAGTTAAGGTTCATTAGGAATATTGGAATGATCAATTCTGCCAAATACTATACCCACACACAAACATATATATGCATGTGTGAGTACATAATACACACATCAGTCATCACACATGTACTACTAGAAGAGGATACAATTGCTTGTTTTGCAACCACTAAATCTGAACTTCCATGTAAAAAGAGAATATCAGTAGCACTGCGCAAACTCAGAAATGGGTAACTGCTAGCCATTCCCCCTATTTTCGATCGTAAGAACGAAGATCTTCCATCTTTTTGTAGACATGCTATATCATATTCTTCCTGGTAATCATCAGCATATAGCTCCGATTCAAGATTTGTAAGTGCATCTTCAATAAAGAGTGTTGAACTACCACTTAACTCTTCGGACTGATTTGCAGAGTCTGGCCAGGCACGTCGGATTGCAGCAGACTTTCTTTCACGAACCAGACTCACCCATGATGCAAAATTACCATTGAAGCGAGAAGTCACATTCTCAAGAAACTTATGTCTTATACACCAAACCATCATTTCCGTGTGCTACATTTTCCAAAAATCCAAGTTAAAGGCTATTCACAGATAACGCTACTCAATAACAAAGATTTTTTTTATGAAGATTTGTCAGAATCATGAACCATGCAATCATCAAATAGTCAAACGTAACACTCACAGGTACACAATGCAAGTAACACCACTAAAAGCGATGGAAATGATTCAACATATGTGGTTATATGATAGATCACTGGTATTTCCGACTCCAATTACAGTAGATTCAAAGAGAGATTAACAGAGAACAAGATCAAAATGAGAGTTATTGAAGAAGAAGAAAATAGCGGACGTATACAAAGCTCAGGACGATTTGAGATGCCCAGTCTCCCAGTTCAGTTCTAGCCAACAATAGTACAATACAGCCTCCTGCTAGCTTATTCACCTTCTATTTATAGTAAAATTCCACGCAGGGACAAACGACCAACTGAACTAACAGACTAGTTAGTTATTAGTTAATACTAACTGCCTTACTCCTCCATCTTTTATAAACTTTGTTATAAAACTGAACTGATTGCTTTGCTCCTTGTCTAACAATACTCCCTCCCTGGAAATTCACCTTGTCCTCAAGGTGAAGCTCTGGAAATTGTTCTTTAAGCATCACCAAAGATTCCCAAGAATCCTGAAAGCTTGGCAGATTGCTCCAGTGTACCAACACTTCCAAATTCCCTTCTTTGTCAACCCTTGTGTCTAAAATATCTTCTGGCACCACCAGTAATTCTAATTCTTCACTTAGACAGTTAGGTAGAGGCTGGTAAAAAGTGGTAGGTGAGATAGCCTTTTTGAGCAAAGAGATATGAAAAACTGGATGTATTTTGCTGTCATCTCGCAGTTTAAATTTAAAAGCTACTAAACTCAATTTGTCAATTTTCTCAAAGGGACCATAATATCTGGGACATAACTTCTGATTTATCCTTTTAGCTAAACTCCTTAGCTTGTAAGGCTATATCTTCAAATAAACCTTGTCTCCCACCTCCAACTGAACCTCTCTCATGTGCTTATTGGCTTGTTGCCTCATCTAATTCTGGGCCCTTGCCAAATTCTCCTTTAACTTATCCAATATGATATTCCTCTGGGCAGTCAACTTGGATACTTCTTCTACAGCAATGAGAGTGACATCACCTCTAATCACTGCAGGTGGATCTTGTCCAAATAGAGCTTTCATCATCATCATTACCCCAGTGCCGCAAAGGCTCCCACACTTTCGGTGGGGTAAGAGGGGATCGGATGTACGCAGTCTTACCCCTGTGCTACTAAAGCATAGAGAGGCTATTTCCGGATGACCCATAGTGAAAATCGCGCCAAAAATTGCATGGACTAACGGTTGCTTCATAACAAAGAAGCGCGGACAGTTTAGTAAGCCATTTTATTTTATTCCATCATATTCTCAAGCCAAAAAATAGTGAGTCTTTGGCTCCATTGCAAATAGAGCTTTGTAAGGGGTTATTTTTAGAGCTACATGATACTCCCTCTGTCCCAATTTGATGGTCTCATTTCTTTTGTGCACAAATTTTAATAAAGTGGTTGAAAAGGTAAAAGTTGTTGAGATTTGAGTACAATAAAGTGAAATGATATGGACCACATCTTTCTTTCCAAAAAGGGAAACAGGACCATCATTTTGGGACATCCCAAAAAGAAAATGCAGGACCATCATTTTGGGACGGAGGTAGTAATTGGTATTATACCAATATTCAGCCCAATGCAACCAGTGAAACCATTTCTTGGGTTTTCTTCCAGTCAAACATCTAAGATATGTTTCAATGCATCTGTTAACCACCTCAGTTTGGCCATCAGTCTGAGGGTGATAAGTTGTATTGTACTTCAACTGGGACAATTTAAAGAGCTCTGCCCAAAATGCACTGAAGAATACACTATCTCTGTCACTAACTATGGTCTTAGGAAAACCATGTAGTCTTACCACCTCCTTGATGAATACATCTGCCGCCTCTTTAGCATTGTAGGGATGTGATAAAGCCACAAAATGAGCATACTTAGTCAGTCTGTCCACAATGACCAAAATAGTATCCTTCCCTTGTGATTTAGGCAATCCTCCTACAATATCCATGCTAATATCAGTCCAAATGCTATTGGGAATAGGTAGAGGTTGTAATAACCCTGCAGGTTTTAAAGCTTGATACTTATTAGTCTGACAAATCACACATTCTTCAACAAACTTCTTAATATCTTTCCTCATTCCCTGCCAAAAGAAAGGATTGGAAACTCTTTTCATGGTTCTGAAGTAACCAGAATCTCCCCCTATTGCAGATTCATGATACTCCTTCAATATTTTGGCTATTCTGGGAGATCTTTATGGTAAAACATGTCTCTTATTGTAATATAGCAATCCTTTTATAATCTGAAATTCAGTGTGCAGATCTGGATGTGAAATTACTTTCTGAATTAATTTTGTGCATTTAGGATCTGACTTCAATTCTTCTTCCAGACCCTCCCTTCCTGGCATGTCACAACAAAAAGTGATTGTAGCATAGGTCTCTTGGAAAGAGCATCAGCAGCTCTGTTCTCAATTCCAGGCCTATATCTTATAGTGAAATTATATCCCAATAACTTTGAAGTCCATTTCTGTTGTTCTTCTCCCATTAACCTTTGCTCAGTTAGGAATTTGAGGCTCTTCTGATCGGTTAGAATCTCAAATGTCCTCCCCAACAAGTAAGGTCTCCATTTTTGTACTGCCAGTACAATGGCCATAAGCTCCCTTTCATAAACAGATATGTTTTGGTTTCTCTTTGACAAAGCTTTGCTCATGAAGGCTATTGGTTTTCCCTCATTAAGACTGCTCCCAAACCAGTTCCAGATGCATCAATCTCCAGTGTAAATATGTTATTGAAATTTGGTGTTGCCAATATTGCTAATGAAGTCATGGTCTTTTTCAACTCTTTAAAAGCTTGTGAAGCTTTCTCATCCCATTGAAAGCAATCTTTCTTTAGAAGTTGTGTAAGGGGTGCTGCAATTTTACTATACCCTTTAACAAACCTTCTATAGTAACCTGTCAGCCCTAGAAAATCCCTTAACTCCTTCAAGTTCTTAGGTTCTGGCCAGGTAACCATGGCTTCTATCTTGGTAGGATCAGCTCTTATTCCTTCTCTAGAGATGATGTGCCCTAAGTAGATCAGTTGAGGTTGTCCAAAAAAACATTTCTTTAGGTTAATCACCAACTGATTATCCCTCAAAGCAGCTAAAACTGCTCTTAAATGCTCTTTATGTTCCTCTATGGATCTACTATAAACCACGATATCATCAAAAAATACCAAGGCACACTTCCTCAAATATGGCCTTAGTACTTGATTCATTAGAGCTTGGAAAGTAGAGGGAGCATTTGTCAAACCAAAAGGCATCACCAAGTATTCATAGTGCCCCTCATGTGTTCTAAAGGCTGTCTTCTTCCTATCCTCTTCTTTCATCCCAATCTGGTGGTAACCAGATTTCAAATCCAGTTTAGAAAATATTTTAGCTTCCCCAAGCTCATCAAGTAATTCTTCTATGACAGGAATAGGATATTTATCTGGAATTGTAATCTTGTTTAAGGCTCTGTAATCTCCACAAAACCTCCACCCCCATCTTTCTTCTTGGCTAGAAGTATTCGGCTGCTGTAAGGACTAGTGTTGTTTTATATGATTCCAGAATCTAACATTTCTTTCACAATCCTTTCAATTTCAGTCTTTTGGTAGGGAGGATATCTGTAAGGTCTATTATTAGGTATATTAGCTCCTTCTTGAATGTTGATGGAATGATCACAACTCCTACTAGGAGGCAAACCTTCCAAAGGTTGAGAAACCTCTGGAAATTCTGCTAAGATGTGCTCAACAAAGGTTCCAGATCTCCACCATTCTTCATTTCCGGTAGTGTAGTACCTTCACAATATACAAAATATCCATCTCCATTGTCTTGTAGTATTTGTGAAATAGTTTTCAATGAAACTTCCATAGAATTCAGTTTTGGATCTCCCTGATAGTTTGTTTCTGGAAGTTAATTTCAACATATAAGACTAGTCAGTCATTCCATACCCATTACTACATCCGTACCTCCCAGATTCAGGATATAAAAAACCTGTTTGATGTATGTACCCTGTAAGCTCAATGTCAGATCCTCACACCTTCCATTGTTAGTAATCTGGTCTCCATCTCCAATCTGTACCTTGTATTCAGATATAATGTTGAAAGGTAACTCCAATTGCTCAACCAACTTCTGAGAAATAAAGTTGTGTGTGGCCCCACTATCAATCAACACCTCTACTTGTTTATCTCCTTTATCCCATCTCAGAATTCCCCTTACTTTGAAAGCCCTCATAGATGGTATTCCTTCATTTCTCATGAGGGATAGTTGCATAGATTTGGACTTCATTCCTTCTTCACTCTCTATTTGATCTTCCTGTTCAGAACTACCTTCCTCATCTGAGTCTTCCACCAACATAAGTTTATAATTTTTCAGCTTGCAGGTATGTTCCTTGCTCCATTTATCACCACATTTAAAGCACAATCCCTTTCTGCTTCTTTCCTGAAACTCTTCTTGACATAATTGTGGTCTTGTTCTTCTAATTCCAGAAGGATGAATTTCAGTAATCTTTCTGCCAGCCTTGTCAAACCAAGAATTATTGTTTTTGTTATCTGCTGCACCTTTATTCTGATTTGACCAAAAATTGCCAGATTTGGTTTTTAAACCTTCTTCCCAATTCTGAGGCTTCACTGATGAAGGTCCCCTTTCTTTTTTTCACTCAGTTTGTCCTCCTCTTTCCTCTTCAAATAGATTGCTTCATTCTTATGTTCAATGAGTATAGCCTTATCCATGATTTCAGTCAAGGAATTGGATGCACACAATTTTAATTCAGATTTGATTTCCTCCTTCAAACCTGTAATGAAAACTCCTCTCAACAATTCTCTGTCCATATGCAGCTGCGGTGCAATCACCATTTCAAACTCCTCTTTATAGTCCTTGACACTTCCAGTTTGCTTCAAACTTAACATTGGTCTGTATGGATTCTGAATCAGCTCAGGTTGAAATATACGAATGATAGATTTCTTCAAAGTGTCCCAAGTCGTTTCTTCAGTTTGACTCTCCCATGGTAGTCGATAGCGCAATATGGCGCGCGCGCCATGCGCCATGTGGCGCGAAAAACCCTCTGCGCTATGAAAAGGGGCTGTGGCGAGGTGTATACACATGGCGTCGCCATTCCTGCGCCTTCGTCATTTGGGCGCCATCGCCATGGCGTTTGCGTCGTCCAGTAGTCGTCTAGGCTCGATGTTGGCGAAGAAATCCTCGACTTATTCACAAGTCGAACCGCAGTGGCAGGCCCAGAACCAGATAAAATAGATTTAGGCCTTAATTAGGGCTAATTTAATTAAGGTTTCAAGCTTTAAATTAAAAGCTAAGCCCAAACTAATCTACCTTACGGACCATTCGTTGCCCAAAGTTGCACGTAGGAAGCAAACAACTAAGACGAACTCACATAGTCGCCCTCCCTCAGTCCCTCGCGGAATCAGAACAGCAGAGGAACTTGCAGACTTCCCAGTTCCCAGGTCCTTGATCTTTGGCTTCAGTTTTTATTTTATTTTAAATTGTAATTAATTAAGTTGTGTATTTATAATTTTGTTGTTGTAACCTTGTTTTTGTGTGTGCGGTTTAACTGTGATACTTCTATTTTAAAATAACCTTCTATGATATACTTCACATTTTGTTTTGATTAGTTTTTTAATTTTAATTCTCATTAATAAACCTTGTTTTCAATTATTAATTGTGAGTTTCTTTTGCAATTTTTTTCATTAATTGTGAGTTTCAATACTAAGTTATATACAATATAGAATTATATATATAGTTATAAATATATAGCTATATATATAAATATATAGTTTTATATATATACATATACATATATATATATACACACACACATAAACCCTAACAAAAAAAACACTAACAAAACCTTACTATTTTAGCTCATAATACTAACAACAACCCTAACTACAAATAAATAAACACAACTAACATAAACCCTAACTACTATTTTTGCAAGACAGAAACTTTTTTTTGAATATTATGTTTTTTGGAAGTACTTTGAACTATTTTATCATGTTTTGGTGGTTGGGTAAACTTGGGTTGATGAATTGCGGTATCTATTATTCGTTTTGAAGTTTTTTTTGTCACGTGGCGACGCCATATTTGCGCCATCGCCATCGCCATGGAAAATGGCCTGTGCGCCATGGGTTGCGCCATGCGCCATGACAACTATGGACTCTCCCATACATGGAACCAATTCAAAGCTCTATCTTCCATAGCAACCATAGAGGTTTCAATTTTCTCTTCCTCTTCAATATGATTTAACCGGAAATACCTCTCCATACGTTCTATCCAGTTATAGGCTCCTTCGCCATTAAACAGGGGTAGATCTATTTTTCTACCAGAATGCACAGATATTCTACCATTTTCATCATTACGTCTATGATCACGAACATTTGAGTGCACCGAATTACCTCTGGAAGCCACCGGACTATTCGAAGTTCGTGCATGATGACGCCGAGGAGATCGCGATTTTCTACTTGCTCGGAATTCCTCGCTCATCGCATCCATTCTTCCGTTCAGGTTTTCCACAATCACTCTCATGTGCATCAGTGTTTCCTCCGTTGCTATCCTGCTACGCTCCATTTCCTCTCTTAGATTCTCCATTTTGCCTCTTGTTCGAACCATTCACAGTTCCGAACGATAAAAATTATGATGCTCTACAGTGTTACCAATCACCAGAAACGTTTGCTCTGATACCAATGATAGATCACTGGTATTTCTGACTCCAATTAAAAGAGAGATTAACAGAGAACAAGATCAAAATGAGATTTATTGAAGAAGAAGAAGAAGAAGAAGAAAATAGCGGACGTATACAAAGCTCAGGACGATTCGAGATGCCTAGTCTCCCAGTTCAGTTCTAGCCAACAATACAGCCTCCTTCTGCTAGCTTATTCACCTTCTATTTATAGTAAAAGTCCACGCAGGGACAAAAGACCAACTGAACTAACAGACTAGTTAGTTATTAGTTAATACTAACTGCCTTACTCCTCCTTCTTTTATAAACTTTGTTATAAAACTGAACCGATTGCTTTGATCCTTGTCTAACATTATATTATAATTACTTTCCAGCTGAAAATCAAGCAACCCTCTAGTCTAATGATACCCCATACAAATAATCAACAGCATTCAAACTTTTTCAACTTTACCTGAATAGTAATCATGAAATATAATGTATTAAATATTAAGAAACTACTTTAGTATCCTTCCATAGTCCATACACAAATGTAAGGCATGAGGTTTTGTAAGAAACCAGGATAGAAGATTTAACCTGCTTGGTTTTCAATATGTGCTCTTGAAGATGATGTAGATCATGTAGCTTTGCTGAAAGAGAATGTTTAAATGATGCTTCCAGAACCTCAATAACATTGGACAAGCCAGTTAATTCAACAGACAGATTCAGAAGTGAGCTCAAGTTTTCTTCCATTCCTTGCAATGAGTCATCATCTATTTAGAAAATCAAGGAATATTGAGTTGCCTATTCATGAACAAATAAAATTGAAGTAATGGCATATGATTGTATGATGACAATTCCATAGGATACATATCACTTGAGCCTCATTCAGAATATTTCTGAATGTCCTCTTGCACCAATCTTTTACAACCACTTCATCAAGTAAAAATGCAATGACAGGATCGCTAGATACTGCACTCTCATCCATACAGACATCTGTGACATCTGTTAGCAATCTGTTAAGGATATAGTTGCATCAAAATAGTAAAAAATTACTGCAAAGAACAGCATTTTAACAAGTGACTATTTATCCCTTAGCAAGACTTCAAACATATAGCGACAGTATGTTTCTACCATCTTACTTTTATCCATAATTACTCGTGATGGTATATGAAGTGTTAGCATCGCGACAATAATATACTTCGTATGTGTTTGCGAAAACTCTAGGAAGAGCATAAAAATCACCTAAGTCAATATCTTTATCTTAGAAATACACTGAAAATGTGCATCGTATCTAAAATAGAGGCAGAGGATACAATGACATATTAAACAGACCAAATTGTTCTGCAGTGCCACATCAAACAATGAATAAAGCCGTTGGATATCAGCTGTTAGCTGTTTCTCACTGTCTTCCTTCTCCTGTAGTCTGTCATCACACCTACTTGAGATAAGACCAGCCTCTATGCACTCATAATAGAGACGCAGCTGAAGTCTGTTTGAATCTTTTGGCAAAGAAACTCTACAAATTGGACAAACATCACATCTCTGGCTGCACTCCTCGCATAAAGATGCATGCTTACATGATGTTAGAACACTTCGTACATTACGTCCACAGCTTCTCAGATCTCTAGTCGCTCTGCATCGCTCAATTTTTGCTTCATCACATAGTTCAATTGGATAAATTGACGCCAAATGCTCTAACGCTTCCTGCAATTAGAAACACAAACCAAGATATTCTCCAACAATTTTCATTTTCATGAAAGTGATTTCACTTAAGACAATGCATGACCAATAAACGTATAAATACATAGTATCTTAGAAAAACTAAGAGCAAGCGGCATAAGAAAAAAATTATAGTGAGAACAATAACATTTTCCTTTGCTCGAGCAAGTTAATGCTTCAACCTTGCAGTACCACTCCAACAAGTGTGATAGTAATATTTGGACTTGACTCTTGGAAAGTTGGATTCAATGCTTTGCCAATGCTTCCACGTAATACTACTCACTGTTTGTTTGAGCCATGGAAGACAAAGAGGACCTGTACTAGTACTACTATTGAGGAAAGTAACAGATTACAGTAAAAGGGAAGAAGAGACACACAAGAGGATGAGAAGAAGAGAGGAAGAGCAGCTATAGGTTTTAGTAACACCCAAATTGAAGAGGAAAAAAACTAGAGAGGATTTATCGAAAATCCAGAAAGAGAAAGGGGTTTCAGAAAAGTGTTCCATACCCGAATTCAGGCTAAAACGGGCAGAAACTGTACCCCTAACAATTTTCAATTAATGTTCTACATCTGTGATTCCTATGCCTTTTTCCCTCTCTACAATCTGTAACGCTAGACTCTTTTTCCATATTAGAGATGCATAAATTGAAAAGTAGAAACATGACAACATCAAGTGGAGTAATGCCAACTTCGATATCAATTGGCTATAGAGCATGTTAGTGACCTCAACTACACACCATGTAGCATATATCATGATGAAAAAAAGTTCCGTTAAACAAGTACTAAAATTGAACTGAAGATTTTATAGCTCGAATCCTGCTTTCATTGAGAGTGGCAAGGCAGAAAGCTGAGACATTTACCAGTGCAGAAATACATACAGTTTATTCAATTCAGATATCACGAACATACATGTACTCTGGGACAAGTATAGCTAAGAGGACGGGCCGGAGGATATTTCAGAGGGCTGGAACCGCCATTGATGTTGGAGGGCGAATGGATGGAGGAGGACTCCTCGAACCTTCTCTCCATTCGTCGATACAAAGAAGATGCGAGAGACCCTGTTACGAGGATACGTCGTCGGAACCCTAAAATTGCCGGCAATTAGAAGGGAACGTCTGGTCGTTGGTTCCACTGATTATGTGAGAGGGAAAAGTGAGACAACGCTGGGGAGGGTTTTGGGGAGATATAATCCCTCCCGCACAGAAGAGCAAGTTTTGAATTATCTAGCATATATGCAAATTTTTTAAGATTTGGTCATTTGGTTCGATTTTTATCAAAATAAAAACGACATAATTAATGTTAAAAAAATCGATTAATTCAATTTTATTTTTCAAAACAAAGAATTAGGATTTGGTTGATTTTGTTAATTATAGTTAAATTTTGTAAATACGCATTGTCATTTGATTAAATATTACAAATAGTCAAAAAATATATATATTGAAAATAGTAAAAGAATAAATATACTCATCAACTACACATTAGAAAAGGCGTAACCGTGCCGGTGAGTTTGGATGTTTTTACTTTGGACCGTAATTTGACGATCTAGTCTGTTTAAATCTAGTCTGGTCTGTTATAGTCTGGTTTGGTCCGATTTGGTAAACGACCGGTCTCTATGTATTTTATAACCACGGAAGTCGAGTTTGGTCTGGTCTGGTCTATTTAAGTCTAGTCTGATCTGGTCTGTTTAAGTCCGGTCTGGTCTGTTTAAGTCTGGTCTGGTGTGGTCTAGGACCGAAACCAGTCCAAGTAAAAACATCCTAACACAACTGATAAATAGGGTAATACAAGAGGTAAGTCTCGTATTCGAATTTCAAGAACTCCAATAAGAAGTTACCATGTAAATATACAAATGACTTGTGAAAAAGATTGCAATTTTGTTCACGCCTTCAAAGAGAATGGACATCGTCCTTCAATCCTCTCTTTTTGCCATGTGACATCTCATTGCATTGTTTTTCTTTAAATTGTTATAATTTATTATTTATTATCTAATTTTTATACAAAAAAATATGAGATTTAATATTCTTTTAAGATCTTTTCAATGATATCAATATTGTATATAAAAATATTGAAAAGAAAAATGTTTTTCCTAAATATTCATTTTTAGATAGACTTTTTAAAAAAATCATAAGCAATATTAGTATCACATGAAAGATCGTAACAAAATGAAAAAATTTGATATTTTTTTAAACAAAATGAATTGAAATAGAAAAACTCAAAACAATTGACAAATAATAAAGAATTGTCTTGCCATGTGGGAGGTAATTAGGGTGGATTGAACTTAACCCTCAAACGTCAATGAAGCTCGGGTCATCTTTGAGTCTTGTATAGCGATTTTCGATAGCCAAGTATGACTTCATAATGTCAGAGAGTTCTTCTAAAATCAAGTCGGATACTTATGGCTTCAGCAAAATCACCTATGAGTGCAATCTAGATCATATCTTCTGGATTCTCTGAGTTCATTAATTTCAGTGCACACTCTTCCAGTTGTTCTTCGATGATGTGTAGCGTTCCATCACAATACTTATGAACTTCACTCATCAGTAGGATACGCTTCTCACCTTTGTAATTCTTTGTACACTAGTGCAAAATATACATTCTATAACTAGGTTTTAATATGGGTTCACTCAGGACCGTTATTATATGTAAGAACGGAGTTTGCCGGAGTTCACCGGAGTTCCGCCGGAGTTCAACTGACAAGGGTAGAACTTCTTAAAGCTCATCCAAGGTAAGGATGACTGACTATATTACTTATAATTAGTAGGTTAATTTCATGAGATTACCTAAGATAATTAAATGTGGTTTTCATGGATTATTAATGATTAATAATGCATAAAATGAAAAGATTATGGTAAATAAAGGAAAGGTGCATGATGTACATATTTGGAATAAATTATGTATGTTTATGTGTGTAGGGAAATGGAATGATAGTTGGATAACTATAAAGTTTATTGATAAAAATATACTTTTACTTCATATAAAGATTATATGCATGTGAAAAGTAATATTTTGTATATTGAATAAATTAAATGTTTGATTTGGGAAAATCGGTTTGAATTGGCCACATGACTATAAATGGAGAACTAGATTGTTCTAAGATTTATCCGACTAGTATAGAAATACTAGTCGAGAATCGAATAAGTGATTATGCTAGAATTGATCCAAAGGTTGGATTGTGAATGGTTATACCTTAAGTAGTCTTAAGAGATACTTTAAGGTGGTTATGTATGAACTCTAAGTTATAATAGGGGTAGGCCTTAAGGGATACCCAAGATAAAGTGAATAATGAATTGATCCTAGATATAGGATTGCCCTACGGGCGTGTTCGCTAGTCCTTGAGGATAGCCGGTAGGGGTGGGCGTGGTTGGTTAACCGTGTTTTGGTTAACCAATTTTCCGGTTAACCGAGAAACCTATTACTTCGGTTAACTGATACTCGGTTAACCAAAGCTTCGGTTAACCGAGTATCGGTTAACCAAAACTTCGGTTAATCACAAACCGGTTAACCAAAAACCATCAAACCATTGATTAAATATATACACACACCATGTTCTTTCTATATTAATGAAGTCCAAACAAGAGAAAAATAAATTTTGAGAGTGGAATACAGGAAAAGATAAAATACACTTAATAAGAATAAACGTGTTCAATTGCTTCAAAAAAAGAATACACATGTTCAAGTCTCACGATTGCAGAATGGGCTAATTAATTATAACTCACAAAAGCTTTGACTAATTATTAATAATATGACATTAAAATTTCTATAGTGACAAACAGAATTTGGTTTCTTCACACGTTTATTAGAACTGATGTATCTAGATGTGTTGGATACATATTTATCTTTCCAAGTTCTCTGAGAACGTGAAGTTCATGACCAGACATGAACATGCCGGTTATTGGTTAACCGATAATAACATATTTTTAAAATCGTAACCGTACCGCGAACCGTTTATTCTCACGGTTGGTTAACCGTACCGTGGATTTAAAAAATTGCGGTTCGGTTAACTGGGAAAAATGGCGGTTTTCTGGTTTTTAGGTGCGGTTATACGGTTACGGTTTTTTATGCCCACCCCTAATAGCCGGTTGAATTATTGTGTTAAGTAGGACCGTGGTCCTTCCTGTTTCTAGAGAGCGTGGTTGGATAGCATTGACTTGCAGCGTGATCACGTGTTAGGGTGGAATCCGAATCGGAGACCTAACGAGGCTTCGACAGCGGTAACACATAAGATAGGACCCCGAAGGGCCTTACCTTCCTACGGGATGATGGGTATGAGTTCAGGGGCGGGATGTTGGAATCCGAACTGATGACCTTACGAGGCCTCGGACAGCGGTAGCAAGTCCCGTAGAAATTATAAGACCTACGGGTTGTGCGTGTGAACGATGAATGAAATGGAATAATAAGAAGGGGCCGCGTGCCGACAAAGTAATGAATTGACTTATTATAAAGATAATAAGGGGAAATTATGAAATATCGTTTATATTATGATATCACTCTATTTGAGGGTCTTAGAAATTAAAACATTGATTATATTCAGTGTAGTTGTCATTGTACTTTTCAAATGCTTCAAAGTAGTGACCTCCCCTTCACGGGGTAGGTCACCTCACAGTTTAAGGTAGAACTTGAAGGTTGCTACTGCCGCCCGTTGCTTCGGGAAGATCGAAGGAAGAAGACTTCGTTCGTGCTTCTTCCGTTCCTGTTTTGAAAACAATTTAAATAATGCTCATGGATATTATTTTGAACAATTATTTAGGGGCTAGTATGCCTAAGTTTGCCAAGTGTGGCTTGAACACTTGTATTAATATTTCTGCTGCTTTAAATGAATGTTTTACGTTATGTTTATTTATGGATGTACTACGTGTGAATGATATTCAAGACGCCTTGTATAGTATGGATGTGTTGGGCTGTGGTTGACTATTCGTACTGTACGGCGGGTTGTTGACGTGTCTGGATAGGTTCGGGGCGTGACACAGAGTGAATCCTGGAAATCCTAGGAATTAATTAATTCCCTAGAATAAAAGGATCTACAATATCAAAAAGTTAATCTACCTTAAATACAATTCTAATCAAGACAAGAGACAATTCTACAATTAATTACAATTATTATGCGCCTGAAATAGATAATTCTGTCCAATAACCTAAAATAGATTATTTTGTCCAACACTCCCCCTCAAGTTGGGGCAAAAATGTCAATCATGCCCAGCTTGACTCGAAAATCTTCAAATGTTTGTTTGTATAGCCCTTTGGTCAGAATGTTTGCGAGTTGCTCTTATGTGGGAACATAAGGTATACAAATTTCTCCTCCTTCTAGCTTTTCTTTGATGAAGAAACGATCAACTTCCACATGTATGGTCTTGTCATGTTGGACAGGATTGTGAGCAATACTGATGGCTGACTTATTGTCACAAAACAACTTCATTGGCATTTCTGTCTTCACCTTTAGTTCATTGAGAATGCTTCTTAGCCAAATAGCTTCACAGATTCCGTGTGTCATTGCTCTGTACTCGGCTTCTACACTACTTGACCGGGCTAAACTTGCAAGTGTACAAGTGCCGATATAGTAATAAATTCCGGTAAAATACCGGTTCGAATCCACAAGGAAACGTTGTTTAATTTAGTCCGTGAGTAGATAACTTTAAATGAAGAAATGAGTAAAGTGCAGAGATTTTGATTTGTGTTTTATATTTTTGGGTTTTCACTTTTTGTTCAAGAAGATAATCGTTAACAGTTTTTGAGTTTAAGATGAATAATAACAATAACTAAAGCTTCGGGAATCACTTAAATGCTTTAATAGGGTTGAATATTAGTTCTTTGCCAATAATTATGAATACGATGTCGCTAATATATTCTCAACTCCGGTTAAGGCAGCGATAGCGTGGTTTTTGTTAAGTGTAAGTCCCGTTACGGCTTACATTCATCTACAGAAAACCCCGTTGAATATCAAGACATCACACCCATATCATATAAGACCGGATATATTTCTATTCTCGGTACTATATATGTTTATCCTTAATGTTCATAGTTTAGACTTCAACATTAATTGCAAGTATAAACTAAATTTAACATACTTCTATGTTGTACACCATAGTCATAAACAATCAATATATAAAGAATAAATCACAATTTATTGGTTTAGAACTTTTATCAAACACTTAGTGGGCATAGAAGTTCATCCTAACCTTAGCTAAGAATTTAGCCTCTAATGCTCATATTAATTACAAAAGTGTAACTAAGAACA